TCCAAAAATAAAATATACTTTTCTGAAATTTTATTTGAGGATTTAAAATGTAATTAGCTGATTTAAAATATAATTAATCTCAAATCGAAACTAATATTATTCATTTTAAATTTAAAATATTGCAGAAATGCATTTTTTAATATGTCAGTAGCTGTTTATTTAAACTGTTGATGTGTTCACAGTTTGATGGAAGATTGATGCTTATCTAATGTTGTTCTCTTTATCCATAAAGAAATAATTGGATATAATGTGAGTACCTTTTAAATATAATTTTTAAGTATACAGTAATCTCGAAAATTTAGGAAAATATTCACTGTAGACTAATGTTTTATTGAATTTAGATATTTTGACTTTAAATTTACTGTAGTTATCACTCATATTTGCTGATAATGTCTTGTATAAACATCCATATCTACAAAAATCAGCATGTTTATACACATACAAAAAAAATTCAAAATTCTTTTAAAAATCTTGGTGCATCTTAAGTGTTTCCATTTATGATTAGTAAATATAGTTTTTCACTTTATAACAATATAATCTAAAAAGTGGAAATTAATACAGAATTTTAAAACACAAGAAAAACTTTATAAATAATTATAATAAAAAAAAATTAAAACAATTCTTGTAAAAAATCATTATACATCAAAAAATTTTTTTTCTTAAGACAATAGTGCTGTTAATATATCTTATTTGTAAAAGCAGTTAAAAGCTTTTCTAATTTAATGTCATTTATTATTTTAAGATTCAGAGCAAATTTTCATTGAATGAGTAACTGTGTGAAAAAAAAAATAGATTTAAAATCTCCAAGGAGTTAAATTAATTTAATTTATTTACATTATTTATATTATCCAGACTGTTATCCTCATCTTCATTGCCATATACACAACATTTCGGCCATTGTACATACTGGCCTTCTTCAGGTGGTTGGAATTTATTTCATCCACCAGGTAGATTGTTCTTGCTCCACATGCCATGCCTCTTCTGAATGTCCCAGTTATTTCCCTTTAACTCAACTCTCCAAGCATTTTTGGTTCACCACTACTGTAGCCTTGTATTGAACTCACAACTCTTTGGGTCTAGTCACTAGATCTAACCAATGTCTTTATCCACTGGGCCATGTGTCTTTATGGCCCAGTGGCCCAGTATGTTCGAAATTCCACTCACTTGAAGAAGGCCAGAGCATACAGCGGCTGAAACATTGTGAATATGGCAGTCAAAATAATGTAACTAATGTAAATAATCATAATACCTCATCTCAGAGATATAGACAGATAATCTAATTCAGTTTTTAAAAGTTATGTTTTAAAAATGATTCTTAATAAATTACTTTTATTTCTTTTTAAAGAGCTGAAGAAAAAATTTCATAGTTTTCATGTCATCAAGTTGTCCTCCTGCTGATTAGGTGGTGAGTTTTAATGGGGATGAGTTGGCTGGTGTTGAGTTGACAGTATTGAGTTGGCAGTGATGTGTTATCCTGCATCCCTCCACTAAAATTGCCTTGAATGCTCCCAGTGCAAGTTTTAGTCCTTGATGATGGACAGTTTTAAGTGTTTTTAGGTAAGATTTCCTGGCTGATCTACAAATGAAATAACTGTAGAATGCATTAACAGCTTACCAATGAAATAACCATAGTCTAACTTTGAGTACGTTAATGGCTTAGCAATGTTATTTTGTCTGTCGTCCAGTCATTATAGGCCACTACTCTCAGTAGCAGGATTGTCTTGTTGGATTGGATTCTCAGTGTCTTCATGTATGGTATAAATGTTACCTAAGAATTTATGCTGTTGTATCAGAGGTATTTTGGGACTATCGATTTTCAACATGGGGTCATTGTGCCTTTTCTGGAGCTGACAGAAGTGAATACACTTTGCTTTGGTTTTTGAGAACTTAAAACTTTTTCTTTGGTCCACATATTTATTTTGATAATGCATTGCTGCAGCTGTCATTCATCTGTGTATGTTTTTAGATCTATAGCAGATCAAGAAATCAACGTATAGTGAGTGGTTGATTCTAGGTTTCTAGATTTTACAATGTCATGATAGGATGTTTCCTTGTGAGACTCCCATATCTTGTTCTTTAGGATCAGATAATATGTTTCCAATCTGTGTTTTGAAAGTTCTGTTGGTTAGAAAGTTGTTTATGAAAATTGGCAGTCTGCTTTTAACACAAGTTCCTTTAGGTCTTTTATAATTTCATGCTTTATTGTATACCTTTTCCAGATCAAAAAATATTGATAGAAGATGTTCCTTCTTAATGAATGCTTTCCATATATAGGTTTCTAGTCAGACTAGGTGATCTATTGTACAATTTCCTTTTCTGAATCTGGTTGGGATTTTTAATAATAGGTTTTTGGCCTCTAAATACAATGTTAGTCTGGTATTGACCATCTTCTCAAAGGTTTTACATATGCAACTAGTGAGAGCTGTAGGTCAACATTTTATTGGGTTTGATTTTTTCCAAGAGGTGGGAACATATCATGTGATTTCTATGTTGCAGTATGTTTGTAGTAGCTACTGAAATGATATTTCAGGAATACTTTAGGAATTAGTAGTGAGTCATCTGGTCCTGTGAATGTATCATGGGCTTTGCTTTGAAAGTTTTGTACTTCGGTGATTGAGAAAGGTTGGTTGAGTTCTGGGATTAAAATTTTCTTCTCTTTCTTAGATTTTTGGGAATTTCATCTAAGTTTTTGTATGATGAGTTTTGTACAAAGATATTGGCTACATCTTTCTCATTTGTAAATTTTATACTGTTTTGGTTGATGTATTTTAATATGGTGCTGTTATTTTTCCGGGATATTTTCGTAATCATTTCCCATAATTGTTTACGTTTTAAAAATGAGCTTGCCCACATACTTTTTTCATCATTCTTTTTTGGATTCCTTTGTTTTTTAGGTTTTTGCTTTTGGTAATTTGTAAGTGATTAATTTAGAGGTTGAGGGTTGTTTTTTGAATTATTAGAGAGCTGGTCTTCTCAGCTGGATAGCTTTCTTGCAACAAGGTTTGCTATGAATTTTCTTAGTTGAAACCTTTGGTATACATTCTGTTGCTATTTGTATCAGTGTTTTTGTGAAGTAGTTAACTTGATCCCTAGTGTTGTAGTTTTGTGGTAATCTGTTCTTGCATTCTTCACTGAATTTTTCCAAGGCTACTTTTTTTGTGATTTCAGCACCAGTAGGAGCTGATTGTTTGCATTTTTGTGGGGGTGAATTCAATAGTGATTTTGATATTTGTTTTGGTTGGGTTGGGAAGGGATGCATACCTTAGGTTGTGGTGGCTGGCTATAATTTGATTTTTGTGATAGAACAGGTTCTAATTTAGAAGGGGAAGTTTGACTCTCTGAAAACAGAGGATATTTGGTCCAGTTTTAGTTCTGAGAGTTTATTCAAGAGTTGTGTGCATGTGTGGTGATCAATAATTTTTGGGTGATATCTTCATATGTTGGTTTATTGGTACCAGATTCAACCATTTTTCTAGCTTCAGGGAAGGTCAGATTTTTATTCTCATGACTTCTTTTTCTCACTTTCATACGTTACCTATTTCTGGAGTTGGCAGAGTGACTTCTACCACAGAAGTTATAATCACAGTTGATTTCCAAGTGTTCTGATTTATACACTCTGCACTTTTTGTATAGTATTTTTTAGTGTATTTGTCTTCATGATTTGTACCATCTCAGAGGATTAGGGCTGTATATTTCTACTTATGGTGTATCATATTTTCAATATTGGAAGAGTGGTGGGAGTATTAAAGGTGAGGATGTATGTGTTGGTGTAGATTGTTTTGCCATTTTTCTTGGAGATTCTGGTCATGTTGGTAATGCCTTCTTTACTGAGGTTGGTTTTTAATTCATCTAAGGTGCAAAGGGAGAGGTCTGAACTTCTCATTATCCCTTTAGAAACATTCAGTTAATTGTGGTGGTAGGTTTTATTATAAGATTGTAGAAAGATGTTTTTTTAAGGAGTAATTTTGATAAGTTTACTTAGTGACTTCTACAGGTACAGTATTAATTTTTAGTTTCTTTACAGATTTTGGTGCTGTTACACAGGAGATAACTTTTTTTAATAATAAATAAAGACAGTTTGGTGATAGGGGCATCATCAGTTGACTCCAGCATTATGAATATGGGGATTTTCATTATCTGAGTCTGTTTCAGGATATGGATGCTTGGAACATTTTAGAGGTGACATAAGTTTTGTGAATTTCATTATTTGTGTTCTTCATCCACCATGGAGTCCAACAATAGGAACAATGGGGAACCCATTTGCCTTGATATGACCAAGGCTATAGTATACTCTGTCCAAAAGAAACTCATCAGTCTATCTAAGCATAAGAATGCTACTTCTGGAAAACAGAACTGTCACTATTCCAGTAATGTAGTGGAAGAATGACATACTGTTGTACCAAGAAATATGTGTCCATGCACATATTTTTTTTTAAATGCAGCACTAACAATCACTAACAGCACTAGCATTATGCAGGCCAATTCATTTTTTTCTCTGCAGCACTATGCAGTTAATTCTATAAGAGATGTTACAATTAAAACATTTTTTACAATTAAAACATTTTGATAGTTATTTACTGTATGTGCATGTGTTGTGTAATATAATATTTGCTAAATTTTCAAAATATATTTAAAAAATATAAATGGATTTTAAAATTATCATGTCTTTATTCCAAAGGTATCATCCAAAAGATATTGAGTTGCCTTACAGTATTTACCTCAAGAGTTCTAAATGGCAAAGTGTTGTTTGTGCGAGAAATATTGTGATAAAACTTAAAAATATGATGTCGGAATAATATCATAATTTTAAGATATTTTAATAAATACTTAAAAACCTATGTAAAAAACAAAGATTATTCACATATATCAAAAAAAAAAAAAAAAAAAAAAGATCAGATACAGCTGAAAAAGTAAAAGTGCCAAATGAAGCAACTATGATTTTTGTCTCAGTTATTTATATTCATATTTGATAATCTTATTTCCAGTATTAACATACTTACGAAATTGGCAAATAGAATTATAGTGGTAAAGGGCAAGATTACAGGTGTAATCATGCCAGCGCCAACCTTCAGATCTTCTCATCTGTGCACAGTCTTCAAAAGAGATTGTAAAAGGCCAAGTTTTTGGCTGGCCTTTAGCCCAGTAACTCCAAGTAACTTCTTCACCTGTAACAAAACAAAATATGAAAAATATGAAAAATATGAAACATGAAAAAAAAAAATGAATGAAATCATTTTGTATTTTAATTTTAAAAAGGTAAGTGACAAATATTTTCAGTTTTGTTTTATTCCTAATAGCATTTTAGCTACAAATTACATATGTACAAATTCAATCCCATTGCAAAAGGTTGTGTCTGATTAGAAAATTAAGAACAAAATTTTACTCACAAAAAAAAAAAAAAAAGAACATTTATTAGTCAAGTGCATAGTTTCCATTGTTTTTAACAGCCATTTCTCATTGTTCTACAAGCTTGTTGATGCCATTTTCTTAGAAACTTTGTGGATTTTGTTGGAAGAAGGTTTTGAGGTAGTTTTCAACTGTGTACAGAGTCAAATTTTTTAAAATTGTTCTGTACAGCTCAGAACAATAAAAATCTGGAAGAGCCAAGTCAGTAGAATACAGTGGGTGGTTTTCCCAATTTCAACTCTTCTACAAGGTCTGTTCTGCAACATACAGTCTTGCAGTATTGTGGTAGAAAATGACACCTTTTCAATTTACCAAAATGCATTGAGATTAGTGAGTTGGTTGCAATACATTTTTGCAGTTATTTTTTCACCAGCTGGAAGAAGCGCAAAGTGAAATATCCCTCTGCAGTCCCACCAAATGGACAGCAACATCTTCATTACACACCTGCTTTAGCCAAGGGTTCTGCACATTTACAACATGTTTCCAGTTCTATTTGTGTTGAATGTTATCATAAATGATCCATTTTTTATCATCTGTGACAATTCTGTCCAAGAATGGCTCCTTTTAATGGTGTAACAGCAAAGAAATTACCCACAAAACATGAGTATTTTCTGTTTAGTCAGAGAATGTGGCAGCTGTGTGTCAAATTTGGAAACAAACCCAAGTCTCTTCAAATGGTGAAAGGCAGTTATTCTCAAGTTCTCGGCATTCTTTTTCATCAAAATCTTTGGCTTATTCTCCATGAAGCATAGTTGATTGTTTACGTTTAAATCACCCTGGTGAAATCTGCCATATTTTGACCATCTGAAGAGCTGGGGAACAATCCAAAGAAATTTTCTGAATGTTTTTTGTCAAAATTCTGCTGCTTACTCCTTTCCAAAATTTATAGCAAAAGTGCAAGTTTTTATCCTCTATTTTTAAGGTATCCATTTGTGAACAAAACATCAACATTCAAAAAAGTTTGACTAGTAACTGAACAAAGCCAAGTTTCAATCAAGAACACACCAGAAATTGGCACCAAAACAAACACTAGTATTAAATTGCAGTCATTTTATATAAAAAATAAAAATCAGACACAAACCTTTGCAATGATCTGATACATTTAAAAAATATTAAAAATATATAACGTGCCCAATACATCTAATCAAAACTGTTTATACTGATAATCTCTTTTGAGTTGTGAACTATAATGCCAAATTTAATTATTAATTTAGCTATGTGGCTTAATTTGAATGACACTTGCCTTTGTTGTTAAATTGCCTAGGCACTTTCATTGAATGTGACTCCCTAAGATAATGGGCACATGTTCAAATCTTAATGGATGCTTATTCTTTATTTCTGACCCTGCTGTTTAACAATCAGAGAATGGTGGTCTGTAAGTTGCAATAAAAAGCAAGAGAAATTAAGATGAATACGTGTCAAAAAATAAATAATAATTAGGAATTTAGTGGTTGAAACAAAGTAAAGTTTTTCAAATATAAAGGATTAAATCTCTTACAATTTCTAACAGTCTGGATGTACCTGCATAAAATACATCTTTTAATAGATGAAAATGATTATAGTTATAAAAAATAAATCTATCAATCTACATTAAGCAGCATACCCAGAATTGCATTAAAGCAAAAAGTTAACTGTTCTAAGTGATCATGTTGTAGGCACTTGGAAGTCATTTGGAACTTTCTATAGAATTTCCCAGAAATAATCTGACTGGCCAAATTAAGCCAATTTTTTACCTAAAACATATTTTTTTTTATTTCAAGTGAAGATTACATTGCTTTTAAGAGGCATTTCGATTGTTTAATGCATGTATTTGTACTCTTTGTTGCTTACTTAGCTTTATGTAATAGATGCATCTACTTTTGAGCTTAATCAGTGAAAATGTATGATTATTGAGTGTAATGCAAATCATTTATTTCTTTATGTTTGTTTACTTTCTAAATATAGATGTATATAATTTAAAAAAAAAAACAAACTGTTTAACATATTTGTTTAGTTCCATTAGTGTGTAATAGTATATGTATGTGGTGTGATAGGTAAATTGTTACCATTTTATAGTTTTAATTTCATGCATACATGTTGTTTGTTTCTGTCAACTGCACAGTATAGTAGGTTCAGTTGGGTAGAGTCTTTAAGAAGAGCACCATGACGCAATTCACTCTGCCAGCAATTTGGAAACTGCATACAACTGTACTGCTTAGTATTCACACTGGAAGCTCTATTATGATCATTTCAACGTGTCTGGGTCAATCTGAGGACAGTGAATGAAAACCAAATATCCAATCAACATTATGGTGTTTGGCATGATCACTAGTGATGATGATGTTATGCCTCCTTTCCAAAGGGCCTTGGACTCAACACAGAAGCCTACATCAAGTACCTTGAGGTGATAGTGTTGCCCTGGGTCACTAGGGTGGTTACTGGAAGACCCTATGTCTGGCAACAGGATTCTGCACCATACCACACAAGAAAGAGAACCTAGTCATGACTGCCGGACAATTTCTGTGACCATATCACTCCTTATATCTGGCCACCTAACTCCCCAGATTGGAACCCTCTTGATTATTATGTGTGGGGTACATCAACAAAACCCCTTGCAATACCAAAGATGAACTGAAGGCAAGGATTATGGCAGCATTCACCAACTTAAACAATGAGACCATTCAGAAGAGTTTCAAGAAAATTTTGAAGTCATCTGGAGATCATGGTTGAAGCCAAGGGTGACTATATTGAATAAATTTACTGTCTATATCTCCAAGATGAAGTATTATCATTATTTACATTTTTCAGACTGTTATCATCCATTGTCGTTTCAGCTCCGTCCTTCTTCAGATGATTGGAATTTTGAATTGAACCCTTCAATTTGTTCACCAGGATAGATAGTTCTAGTTCAATGTCTCTTCTGGATGTCTCAGTTATTTTCCTTTAACTCAATTCTCCAAGTATTTTTGGTTGACTGCTATAGCCTGGTATTGACCTCATAATTCTTTGGTTCTAGTCACTGGATCTAACCAACATCTTTATCCAATGGGCCATGTGTTCTTTAATAAATGATACACACACACAAACACAAGCTTACATGCTTCTTAAACTTAAAAATAAAAACACAAATGAAAAATGAAAAACTTAAATTTAGATATTTGTATTATTTATCTTTAAATGTGAAAAACCTAAAGATCTAGCTGTAAGAAAAAAATTGCAAGAAAATTATATTTTTTTTGTCAAAAACTGGAATGCATAATTAACAAATAAAATGTATGTATTACGTTTTCTGCTTTTCATAAACTAAATTGGAAAATATAAAGGAGAATTTTAAAAACAACATGAAAAATCTAGTCATAATATGAAGAAAAATTTTTGATGAAAATTTTAAAAAATATTTATGATTGTGAATAGTTGTAATGCACTAATATTCTTTACATAGAAAATGAATGCACAAACACAGTTTCATTCTTAAAGTATGATAAAAGGTAATCTGAACATGAAAATCAATCTCTCTCTCATATATATATATATATATATATATATATATATATATATAAAACATACAATCTTTCTTTTATTTTTATATATATATATATATATATATATATATATATATAAAAATAAATAAAAGAAAGTTTGTTTGTTTGTACAACAACAAAGTGCATATCTTTAATAATAGCTCCTTTACTCACACCTTTCAAATTTAGGTGAGCTGAAGAAAAAAACGGAAAGAAATTCGCTTGTCTTAGTTAAAAGCAAACTGAGTTCAAAGAGAATGACCAGTGAGTTGAAACAAAAGATGAAACAAATTTGCAACCCAATGTGAAATGTTCTTTGGACCAATGAAATACATATATATAAAATAAAGATTATGTCTGTATGTATGTTTGTGCAACATGTCTTTTTATAAAGAAAAATTGTTGAGAACAGTAAATGATATTAATAAATTAAAAAATGATAAATAAAACAAATTAATGATAATTAAGGATAAAGCATAATAAAAAAAAAAAAAACAAGATTAATAAAAACAAACAACCTAAAATCAAATGGCCAGTTACTGAAAATCAGCTCTGAATTGTAAAATAAAACCCAATTACCCTAAGACATTACTGAATTAGAAAAGCTTTTAATTGTTGATTAATCAATCATCATTTTTTGCCCAGTTATACATTTTTATGACTAAAACACAGTTAAAGATTATTAAAATAATTTTTTGCTGATTTTAAATCCCTTATAAATGATGTATAAAAAATATATATTTATTTACTTTCAAAACTACATTTAAACAGCCCTGAACCTTTATCACTTTTGAGAGAAAACATCCAATAAAACTAAAGACAATAAACTTGTTGACTCTTTTTATCAGTGGGAAATCTGCTGCTGCATCACTGACTACAGATCTTATATTGGATTCATATTTAACCTTGAGAGATACGCATGCACTACTAGTTTCATCTGTCAACTTAAAGTTCATCACTGAGAACAAAGATTCACAAGCATATGTAGATGAAAACATGGATAGTAAAGCTGTTGCAAGGTTTTTTAAAAAGAAAAAATTTCTGGAATGGTATTCCAAGTCCTTAATACTCAATTTTCCACATTTCTCTCTCATACTCCCATCTCTAATTGCTCCTTTTCAATATTTTCCAAGTCAACTCTAAGGCAACAAATTTCTGCTTCCAAATTGAGTTACTCTGAAATTAAATCAATTGCAATTCAAAATCATCCATGACTATCCATGAAGACATTTTCAAGTTTAGTTCATCCTGTTTGATAC